ATAACTTTTAGAGCTTTCACAAATTACATTATGTCTTAAGGCATTAAGTACTTAACACTTCTTTATTGCTTACTGTTAACCTAGCCACTGCAGAAACACCACAGTGCCTCAGGATGGTTCCTGCCTGTTGTAGAGCTTCCGTTCAAAAACTTTCCATGTATGGGAGGCTTTTTAAATTTCCCCACATTCATAGGACCATAGGATGATTTCAGGTTGGATTATGAGCTCAAGAGCTGTGGTCCAGCCTCCTACACAAGGTAGGGCCAGCTGTGAAGTCAGAGCAGGTATCTTAAGGCTTTATCAAGTCAAGAAGCAATACAAAACAAGGGGCGTTAAATATACTCTCCCTTTCCTATTTGAACAGGACACTACCCTTTTTTGAAGACACGAGAGTTTTTTGTTTCATTTGGGATAAGGAATTTTGGTTCAGCACCTTCTTCTCAAAGACTATCCTGTTGAATTTTCGGTTGTGTCAGGAAAAGTGTTAGTAGTGGTGAAGCCAGCTGATGTCATATGGATATTCTTCATTGAACAAACGATGCTTTTACATTTCTGAAAAGCATTCTTACTATTGTAATGTGCACAACTGTCTCGTAAACCTCTAATCATACCTTTGCTAGCAATGTTTGGGTCCTAGTTGGGATCTCAAAACATAGGAGAGAGGTTATGAAATCAAAACAAGTGAAAACAAAATAGCCTCCCTCCCAGAATTTGCATTCTTCCCTTAATACCTAAATTGCCCCAGAAGAATTTGCTCAGAAATGTAGGGGGGTTGTGAATGTACATATTTTAACTGGGTTTTTTGGTGGTTTGTTTTTTGTTGGGTTGTTTTTTTTTTTTTCAAATAAGAAGAGTCATTTGAGTGAGAAGATTAGTTGCCAGTATATGAAGATTTTTCCATATATGTTGTCCCTGTCTGTATTTGCTATATGCTTGTGTTGTGTGCCCTGAAATTTGTAAAAAATGGTGGGTATATGTTTTAGATAAATGAAAGTGATCTGGTTATTATGACCAAGTGCATAGTGTGTTCTATGCCCTTTGCATCATGTGCTTGAGGCACTGAAAAGACAGGATGCAGGCACAGTCTAAAGCATTTTTAGGGCTAAAGATGTCTCCAAAATTAATACATGATAAATTTATATGAAAATATGCTCTAGATAGCAGTTCTAGCAAGAACTGGAAGTTTTTCTGTGATCTTTTTTTCCTGGTAAGTAGTTTACCATTACCTTTATTTAAATAAAACAGTTCCAACAATTTCCATATATCTTGTGGTTGCTTCTGTCTTTCTGCATTTCTGTGGAAATCGTGCTCCAGGTTTATTTCTGCATCTGGCAAGGCTGAATCGGTTGTGTTATAAAAATTCATTGTTCTGTTGTAGATTTGTTCATGGTTGTTGTAGGTATTTAAGATTTGAAATTTAAGAACGTAGGAATGAAATATTACTGCTGCTGTGATCTGTCTGGAAACATTTATTTGTATTACCTTCGTTCAACAAGGATGATTTTATCAGGAGTTCTTGGTTTTCATTTCAAGGAAAAACTGAACTTTGCCAACAAACTTAAGGTTTGGTCCACCCATGCTGCAAAAGAGCGAGCAGGAGCCATATGGCCACAATTAGCATAGCTGTAAATGAGTAAATAAGTCCTGGTGACAGGCATGGCATATTTACAAAGTTTTGTTTGCCTTCCTAACCACAGTAGCGCAGCTTCCTGTAAGAGCAGTGTGACTGTGTGTGGCTCTGTAGAAACCTGGGTAGTGTTACTAATTCTTGGTTTATGGTTAGTTTTGACTTTCATTCAGTTTTTACCTCAAGTACCAACCATTGATCGGAAACTAAATCTGAGCTGAAGAAAGGACTTTTATTTTTCCTCTGAACAAATGCTGATTAAAAAAATAGTATAAATGTGGGTTCTGGTTTAAGAGGGGAGAAAAAAATACTCCTGACTGAGCAAAACTAATCACTGATATGGTCAAATATTATGTGCCCAAAGGCAGCTTTTTTTGTTACCTCAGTTGAAGCTGACTGTTCAAGGCATTCACTAATGTATGTGCTGTTTGTTGGTCTGCCACACATGAAAAATTATGATTTAAGCTTTTTTGTCTTTGAAACACAGGTAAAACGTCTTTAAACATAGATGTCTTTTGTTTGTTTGTTTTAAAACCTAGTTAAATTTGCAGAGTTTAACTTGGCTATGTTTAAGGTACTTAAACACAGTTTAAACAGCCATCACTGCTGAGGCCTGTTCTAGAAGGCATACCTCAGTGCTAGGCCATTGCACTTAATATTTAGAAGACTTCTGGTGTCATAGGTTGTATGAGTTACCAGATACTAATTTGGATCAACTGCCTCAAGTCTACAGCTCACATTTTTCTGCAGCTGTGCTTATAAAGATACATGGATGTTTATTTTTTTCTTTTTACTCCTGAGAAAGAAGAAGAGGGTAAGGATTCTTTCCCTTTTTTTATTACTTTTTTTTTTTTTTACCTCTTGTTCAGCCCCAAAGACGCTATGCTAACCCCCCAGCTTTTGGTTACCATGGTAGTGTTATTGGGTGTACAGTAACTGCAGCTGTTTAATACACGGGGCTCCAGAAACCGAGCCCTTTTGTGCCAAAAACTGCCACAGAATATGGGGAGCCATGACTGCCAAGGCAGGTGAGCGGCCTGAGGCTTTGGGGGTGGGATGGCTAGGAAGTGGGAATGTCTGTGCCTCCATCCTCCAGGCAGCCCAGTGCTGCCTTCCCTCCTTCCCTGTTTATTCAGAGCAGCCCTGTGGAGAAGGACTTGGGGGTGTTGGTCGATGAGAAAATGAACGTGAGCCAGCTTCAGGGTGCGCTCGCAGTCCAGAAAGCAACCGTATCCTGGGCTGCACCAAAAGGAGCGTGACCAGCAGGTCGGAGGAGGTGATCCTGCCCCTCTACTCTGCTCTTGTGAGACCTCACTTGGAGTATTGTGTACAGTTCTGGTGTCCTCAACATAAAAAGGACATGGAACTGTTGGAACAAGTCCAGAGGAGGGCCACAAGGACGATCAGGGGACTGGAGTACCTCCCGTGTGAAGATAGGCTGAGAAAGTTGGGGCTGTTCAGCCTGGAGAAGAGAAGGCTGCGTGGAGACCTCATAGCAGCCTTCCAGTATCTGAAGGGAGCAGGGATTCTGGGGAAGGGCTCTTCATTAGGGGCTGTAGTGATAGGACAAGGGGTAATGGGTTCAAACCTAAACGGGGAAAGTTTAGATTGGATATAAGGAAGAAGTTTACTGTGCAGGTGGTGAGGCCCTGGAATGGGTTGCCCAGGGAAGCTGTGAATGCTCCATCCCTGGCAGTGTTCAAGGCCAGGTTGGACAGAGCCTTGGGTGATAAGGTTTAGAGCGAGGTTTCCCTGCCCATGGCAGGGGGGTTGGAACTAGATGATCTTAAGATCCTTTCCAACCCTAACTGTTCTATGATTCTATGATTTTAACATACAGTTGTCTGCACTGGGTGAATGCAGTACTATTTCTATTGGAAAAAATGGCAAAAAGGTCTGTCACAATGAAAGCTTAAAGTCATCATGGTGGAGAAGGCAGCACACCAAGATGTTTGTTCGCCTTGATCTTCAGGTGCTTTGAACAAAGGCATCTTCAGCTCCCAGCTGCCTTCTTTAGTAAGAACTGTACTAAATGGATTGCTTAGTAAGCCATCATTTCTGGTCATTGGATTTAGTACTCTGGCCAGGTAAATGACCCTTCACATAGGACAAATTTTTCCAAATAATGCTAAAAGCAAGCTCTGCACCATGTTTCAAAATTAAAATCTGCTCAGTTCTATAAAACTGAAGGATATTTTTCTTTGAGATCTAGCACAGCAAGCGAATGTTGGGGATAGCATGCTGTATAAAAAATAATTACTTTGCTAGGGTGTTATGTATATATTTGAATGTCCTCAGTTTCTTACTGCTTCATGAAAATTTAGACCATCTGGATTTGATTTTAGCTGCTGATCTTCTGCCGTGACCCTTACAATCACCTAAGCTATTTTTATGCAGTATGTAATACCATTAGCTATCCAAGCTTACAAGTATTTTTCTCACAGAAGCATCATAAATATTCTCATCACTTGCGTATCTCTGTACTTCAGTTTTTGCTTAAACATGGATTGTTACTGGGTTTAGTGCTTTGTATTTAATGGTTTGTGTTTCAGAAAGAGTCTCCTTTCTTACAAGATTTTATCCCAGAGTTGCTAATCTTTGATGTACAATTGCAGGAGAATTTCAGAGCTCTAGGACTGAAGAACTGTTTGATTACTTCAAGCTTTTTGGACAATGTGACTAACTTTGGGACCTCTTTATTCTAATTTTATAGAAAAATAAAAGCTATTGTGTTTTTATTACAGGTCCAGATGGTGGGCCTTTTACCCTTCCTCACAGTCTGTGTGACAAATTTATGCTAAGTTACAGAAGGGGTCTTTGCAGTGTATCTCCAATTCTTCTGTACGCTTTTGGTTTTCTTCGGTCAGGGTGTAATGTGGAACTGAACCCAATACTTCTGATATGAGGCTCAAGATCACTGTTGCTTACCAAGCCTGTTTCAGCCAGGCTTTCCAAATAGCATGTGCGGATGGGATTACTTGCCTTCACTTTCAGTCTTGTTTGGTGTATGACCCAGAGCTGTATGATGAGGATAAAGATGACATGGGCTCCATGTACACTTAGCTGTGCTCTGTCTGCCTAATGAGTCACATGTGACAAAGATTACATTGCTGTGTTTTGTTTCCTCTTCATGGTGGTTTACTTATGCAGTGGAAATATACAGGTTTTGTATGTAAACATGATCCTTTCACATTTCAGGAGCATAATGATCAGAGCTAGAGAACTCTAGTCAGCACTTAGCAATTAGTAATACTGCTTTAATTAGATAGTGTTTGTTACTGGAAAAGTAGTATTTGCTTAAATCCACATTAAATATTCTTTTAAATAACAGTTGAGGGTTTTTTCTATTTTTTTTTCCCAATTCCCTCCATAGATGGTAAAAGCAATCCAGGTTCTACGTATCCATCTGCTTGAGCTAGAAAAGGTTAACGAACTCTGCAAGGATTTCTGTAGTCGTTACATTGCCTGCCTGAAGACAAAAATGAACAGTGAAACGCTATTAAGTGGAGAACCTGGAAGTCCTTATTCACCTGTGCAATCTCAGGTATGCTTCAAATAGTTATGTGTACTTTTGCTCAGATTTCTTTAGGAAGTTATAAGTACACTTCTGTTGCATTAGTTTGCAAACAGAGTTTCTGCTGTTTCTTTGTTTTTCTTAAAACTGGTTATTAGGAGTAGAAAGAGCTGTAATTTTTTTGGGGCACCCTTGTGTGCCACTGCCTGATGGACAAATTTATTGAAATGTGCCAAAGCATGGAGTCACTTTTTTTAGTCTGTCTTCCTTTTATGATTCCTTTTATGTCAGTTCAGCAAATGGAAACACTCAGAATAGGCTGGATTTTCTATTTTGTTGGAAAAAAAGGCTAGGAAACAGGATAAACAAAGAAGAAAAAAAATTCCTTGTTAAGAAGGTCTCCTTAGTCTAGTCTGCTTCATTAAAATATTGAGGTGACTGATACTTTTTATACACCATCTGTATTCTGGAACAAATGGACAATGTCTGATGGGTTGTAGTTGCAATATTTGAGATACATCATTGCGTAACACCTGGGGTAACTGAAGTTATGAACAGTACCCATTTTTATACATGTGAAGCCCAGTTTGTGTATTATTGACATTACCTAAATGCAATAACCAATTGCATCTTTTGTAGTAAATTGACAACAGTTAATTAACAACAGTTACTACATTATGGTTGATGCTTCTACTGTTGGATGCTAGAAAGTAAGTCCTGTCATCAGAGTGCCTGCTGTGTATCTAGTCTTAAGGGGATGGCCCTTCTCTGACTTGCTAATGTCTTCAATGCTGTGTATTCTGAAAAACCTCAGTGATGTAATCTTCACTGTCTGGACTCCTTACTTAAGTCTGGAAGTGTGGAAAGGAGAGTCTAAAATCAGACAAAAGCAACTTATTTTAAAAGATGCTTTTTGTGTATCTGTTACAGCCTTCTGTAGAGACAGGAGAAACTGAATTTACCATTTGGTAAAAATAAGAGATTATTCCATATTAAAGAATAATAAAGAAAGTCCTTGGTCAGAGTAAACATTACTGAGCAAGAACTGAAAACATCGGTGTTATCAGCATTGTTCCCAGGCTGACAGTCAAAAACACGGCACTGCACCAGCTACTAAGGAGAAAAATGACTGCTACTGCTGAACCCAGGACAGTGTATCAGTTTGCATAGTCATGGTTGAGTAAGAACTATGCTGAGCAGAATATATTTGGCAACTTGAATACTTTATACATTATTTTGGAATTGAAGGAATTAAGGTAATAATTAAAATTCTACAGCTTTGACGCTTGCAATAAAACCACCAAGGGTTCATCTCATCTGTCCCCTTTCCCTTGTACGTTTAGAAACTGTTTCTCTTAGTATCTGTATACCTAAAATCATTTCTCTCCAAAAATTTCCCCAAGGTAGTTTTGTCTTTTCTGGCAGTTGTTTTCTTGAGGGTTTGCAAAGGTAATGGTTGGTGATAATGAAAAAGTTAATGTAGGTAATGAAGAACCCCTAATGAAAATCTTTTTTTCTTTGAAGTTAATCCTGTGATTAAACTCCGAATGTCTTTTTAGAGACAAAATTACACAAGCATGCTTTATCTCCCTTAGAAAAAAAAAAAAGGAAAAAGAAAAAGTGCAAGCAACTAATTGTTTTATTTTTCTAGCAAATTCCAAGTGCCATTGCAGGCACACTCAGTCCCCAAGGGATTATGGTGCCAGCATCAGCATTGCAGCAGGGAAATGTAACTATGGCAACAGTAGCAGGTATGACACAGTAATGAAAAACTGGCACCTTGCTCTTAATTTTGTTTCTTTTATAGTTGTTATAAAAAGCACACAAATACTTTAAACATGTGTTTTAACTTCAGTACCTGAAAAGTTGTTACAATACAGTTAAATGCCTTAATGTTTCTGAATGCTTGTTTAATTTATATGTGTACTAAGTATGCATGTGGGTGGAGTTTACATATATATATAATATTAAGAGATCTTTCTGTGTAACACTAGTTTTATTAAAAGGCATTTCAGAAATTGGAGTAGTTTACTCTTTTTCTTTTTTTTTTCCCTTTCTTCTTCTTCAAAAAAAAAAAAAAGGAATTCTGTTTGACAAAAACAGCATTGCCTAAAATACTGCACTTGTTAGCTGTCTCATGTCCTGTGGAATTTGGAAACCCCCCTACAAGTCTGTAAAATCCTGGATGTCCAAGTTGTTTTGCTGTTGTGTGGAGATGGCATTTGAACTGAAATGTTTTATCTAAGCTTAGAAGCATAATAAAAGATAAAAACAGAGAAAAACCTCGACTACAAAGGCAGCAAAGCAGTGCAGTCTGCTCCTGCAGCATATACTTGGAGAGAGGTTATCCTGAGACACCATATGTGCCTTGTGGCTTTGGTGTCCAGAACCCTCTGTGCATTCACCAAGCTTCAGTCTCCTTGGTTGATCTGAATATCAAGGTGTCACCCAGCTGACCACTCTAACTGCTTGACACATGTAGGTGTGGTACTGGTGTTGAGGCTTATGTTGGCTGAAGAGTTAGCTAAAACAAAACTATGAACTATTTTATAGCCATAGTCATGGCATTGTCCTTTGAAAATGGATTCAGAATGCCTAAAATGCAGGGAAGTAAAATGAAATTTTGCACAGATTTTTGTGCATGGAAAAAAATGTAGTGTAGCAAAGAGCATATCTTACCTGCTTACTAGAAGATAATAGTTGATATATTATCAAAACTGCTGTATTGTCCACATTGCTGGTGTGTCTTGTGTGTTTAAAAAGAATAACATTTGAAGGGCTTTTACTTACCTGTAATCTTCGTTGCTGTTTTATATTAAGGCGGGACAGTGTATCAGCCAGTCACTGTGGTCACTCCACAAGGTCAAGTGGTGACACAAGCACTGTCACCTGGGACTATTCGGATCCAGAACTCTCAGGTTTGTTTCATGTGCTTTTGCAGAATACTATTCTGGGTTCAAATAAATCTCACTGGTTTTCAGAGGTTTGGTGTAAATTTAACACACAGTCAGAATGAGCTCTGTGTACACACATATAGTAACTAATGTGGAATTAATGCAACCACTCGTGTAGGAATTGAAAGTTGTATAAGGTGGCATAAAGTCCCAGACAGATCTCCCTCACTATGGCAGGTCATCACAGTTCCTACCTGCTAAGTATCTTTTTTTATTACTGATGGCAGTGAAGTGTAGGTGGATTTAAAAAAAAAAAAAAATTAATAAAAACCCCCGAACCTAACAAACATCCCCCCAAACTGAACAACAAGAAAAAAACCCACTCTGAATTAAATAGACACTTTTTTTCAATGATCAGAACTTCTCTAATTGTTAAGTTAGGTTTATGGCTGGATAGATTTACTGTGCTGCATAATGGTGCAATGCCGCTGTTGTCTGGAATTTGGCTGTTTATCATCATGGCAATCACAAGTATCGTGAAACTGTGTATGTATTTTGGAATTTATTTATACTGAGAAGCATTTTGCCATAAAACCTTCAAAAATCTCAGATGAGACTATGGGAGATCCTTGCATTGGGCTTGTTATATCCTAAAATATAAGGGCCAGCACTTCTTTGAGGAGGCTCTTAAGGGCTGGGCCTGGAGTGTTCAAAGAAACAATTAAGGAAAAGGAAATGTGAAAACTAAACCATCTTCAGTTATGGAAAACCTTGACAGCTTTCTTTTGGAGCAGGAACTGGTAAATAAGTCTTCCAGGAATCTGGAGTCAATTAAAAGTGTGAATGAGGAGCTACCATTTCCACAGTATAAAATCTGCTGGTGATCACTGATGCAGTGTCTTCTCATCTTCCTTATTCTGACCTTCCAAACAAAAAGTATGCTTAGAATATCCTTACTTTCTTTACATTGGTGGTAGCGTATATGTACTTGCCTATATTCTTCCCTTGAATGCATGCAGTTCTGTCCTCAGATGCCTTTCAGAAAGAAATGTGTAAAATTACAATCCTAGGCTGAAGTGGTTTTGAAGAAAAATGCTTTTTATTCCTCTGATGGGAAAAAAAAAATAGTGACTGGAAAATAATTCCTGTAGCCTGCAAATAAAAATTGTCTTGACCTTATATACATATAATATACATGTATATATTTATATATGTATATCTCCATGTCTACTTTTGATGTGAGAAGGAATCTCCAAACACACCTATGAGTTTGAGCCTATTTTCCTTGTCACCCATAGGAAACCCTTCTTGAAATTCTTCTTTCTCGGTGTTTCAGAATGCTGTGGAGGTAGGGGAAGAGCTATCCTGAGTTCATTGTAAAACCTCCATACACCAGCAGGTTATTGAAAATGTAAAGCCTTATTCTGGGAAAAAAAAAGTATGCTCCAAATATATATTTATTGTAATTTGATAGCTTAAGCCCTGTTTAAAACTTGTTTCATACAACAGACAGACATAATGACTGGCGTGAAAAAATTGCTCTGTATTGTCTGAAGAAACTGGTTTAGATTTATTTCCATTATAATTGTCTGAAATATAATCTCATATACAGTTTATTTACTCTTCTTGTTATCTCTGCGTAAGCATTTAAGAATGCGTCAGTCATATTCTGGTAATTGATATGTAAATGATGTACCCATAGGAAGTGGAAAAGAAAGTAAAAGTAAGAAAGAAATAGGACCCTTTAGGGAAACTGTGTGTCATAAAATGCATTGAGGGTTCTATCTCTTGTCTTTGAGGATGTAGATGTATTTCTTTAGAAGAACCTTCAGCATCTTTGTAGCCCTAGCATAGTAATTAATTTTACTTTAAGTCTTTAATCAGTACTGGTTTACAACTTGTTTTGTTGTTAGTATTTCCACACAGTCAGTATTTCAACATTGTGTTTTTTAATTGCTCTTCACATGTGCAAATGACTACATAGGCTGACAAAGCAGTTGGATCCCTAGGGTAGTGTAGATAAGTACAGAGGATCATTAACCTGACATGTGCTACATAGGTGGATTTTATTCTAAGTTATAATGAAGTAGCGTTTGGCATTGTCATAAGATCACAGACATAACCTGATAACAGCTATACTTCTTAAAACAGAAGTTACATGACATGTGAAAACTGTAGGAGTCTGGTATGGCATTCTTCTTGGATAAAGATATCTTATAATGCTACTGTTGTAAGTCTTCCCTAGCAAATAAAATAGCTTTTTATGATCAGCATGCATCAAGCCTGATTTCATTCCTTCTATAAATGAGTTATTCATACATTGATACAGAATGCTATTACTGTGTTAATTGCTTTATTTCTTCTAAAATTGTATGTGCAGCTTCAGTTGCAATTAAACCAAGATCTAGGCATCTTGCATCAAGATGATGGCTCATCAAAAAATAAAAGAGGAGTTCTTCCCAAGCACGCCACAAATGTGATGAGATCTTGGCTTTTTCAGCACATAGGGGTAAGGACTGAACATGATCAGGAGTCACAGGTTTTTATGTAACTCTTTTATGTGGTCTCTTATGATTTTGCATTGTAAAGAAGGTGGATTTTTTTCTCGTGTCATTTGCGTAATCACAGTTCAGTTTTTCCCTGAAGTCATTTGGAGTGGTTCCCCAGTCTAATGTCTGTTGATTTTATTACTGTTCTAATGTTACATTTGTACCTCATGATCTTAGTAAACATTGTTAAAAAGGATCTTTCTTCATCACATTATGTTGAGAACTTAGTGATCTCTTTGCCCTGGCTCATGGCACAAGAAAAAATGGTTCCATCTGTGGGGTTTTTTTGTGTTTTTTTGTTTGTTTGTTTGTTTGTTTTAGGAGAATGTCAAAATTTTTTGCTTTATCTCCTTTCTAACAATCCTTCTAATTTGGACTGAGTGTGTTTTTTATAGTATGTCTTTCCCTTGCATATCCCTGAAAGGATAAATAGGTCTCAAGTTATATCACAATGTTTAGTTGAGTGATATTTTGTCATTTACAAATATTTTACAACAGACAAATGATACAGGGGAAATGCGTGTACACTTCTTTAATATTACATATGCTCTTCATCTGTTTAGTTCAGAGTAGCTTTATTTAACTGGAAAGTGCTTGTCAGTACTCTCATACGATGTTGCCTTTAGACAGCATAACTAATCAGATCTTATCACATGCTGTGTTGCCTGGGGATCATGCTGTTTAATAAAGACTGGCAGCCATGAGAAGCTTTTTATTCTGCATTACACATCAGCAGTTTAATGGTATCACTTCCAAGGATAAAATCAGCTTTGTGTAGTAAAGTGCTGTTTGTTAAATTATCTTCATATATGAAAGTTTGACAGGTATCTAAAGTTTTGTTTTTAATGAGTCAGGTGGTCTTAATCTAACAGCTTTAATCAGTTGTAATAAAGGAGTCCTTATTTTTGATGAGGAGATGAAACAAGCTTATGCCTTTTTTCTTTTTTTTTTGTTTGTTTTTTGTGTTCTGTTCAGCATCCATATCCAACAGAGGATGAGAAGAAACAGATTGCAGCACAAACAAATCTGACACTACTCCAGGTTAACAACTGGTAAGCGCAGAATCTCTTACTTAGCATCTGTCATTGTCTCCACGTGCTTGCAACATAGAGAAGTAGTTAAGAGTATAACTTGGACATGTGGACTTGAACTTTCGGTTCTACATGTATTACAAAAAACGTAAAAATACAAGAATTACGCAGTGATACACAAGGATATTATTTTATAGTTATATATAACATTAACTTCTGCCATTTAGATTATATAAGAACTCCAGAAAACTTTGCAACATTAAGGATTTACGTTCTTTTCTATTGCTGAAAGAGATGGAAGTACTCTCATGTCTCTCCTGCAAGTAAAGAAATTGAAATTTAAAGGCATCTAGTGACCTGAGACTCTGAAAAGTGTTCTCTGGAAATCATGGTTGCAAATGTTCAAAAAGTTACTGTCCACAGATATTCATTCTGCGCTTCAATGAAAGGATGCTGTTCTCTGAGCAGTGATGTCCAAATGGAGAGTGTCAGTACTCCAGCTACTCTAGTTCATGGTTCACCATGTTTTAGCACGTCTCACTAGAGGTTTAAGATAATATACTTGCCCTGCAGAAAAGAGGATCAAGGGTGCGAGCATGCATCCTATTCTGCTTGTGGTATTAGTTCCTAAGATTGCTGCAGCTAAGTCTAGCAGGGATCTTCCTCAGATTTCAAAGATGACGCTGGCTGTGTGGCTGCAGAGAAATACTCAAGATAGTAGCAATACACTGATTCCAGAAGTGGAACAGTGTAACTATGCCTCTGTGACACCACAGTAACTGAGTTTTATGGTAATGGGATCCAACTAGTATCTACAAAGCATTGCATTACATCATGTGGACCTGCCAGCTGCACCTTACTTCCTTCCACTGCAGGTAAAAAATGGGTCGTGGATGTGTTTTGTCAGATTTAGCAAGGGATGCTGTCCTCAGTCACAGCAGCTTGCCACAACTAGCTACATTAAAATTGATTCACCTAGCTGCTGGTAGCTAAGTGTGATGTGGTTTAAGTATGTTCTTTACTAGCAGAAAGTGGAAGGACAGCAATTAGCATGCTAAAGTAAAAATGAAAATCAGGGAACGAAAAGGAAATGGGAAAGATCTGAAAAATGCGTTTGCTGTTGTCTCCTGAATCAGGAACCAGACCTTGGAAAGCCAGGGAGCCTGTAAAATAAGTAATGCAAGAGCTTAAGGAGGTAAGTGAATCCAGACCAAACAAACTAGGTTAGGCAAGGGGCTATGTTTTAGGTGAACTCTAATGAGAGGAGTATCAGCTTTCTGAGCTGTGCTGTCAGCAAGTTTTGTGGTGCTTAGTTTTTAATAACATCTTGAAATGTGCATCTGTCGTGCTGTCTAGAGAATTTCCCCTTCTGAGGTAGGGGAAAAATTGCTGCTAGCAGCAAAATGTTAGAAGTACTTTCTTAGCTAGTTCACCAAAAATCAAAGGATGTCAGTGTTCTAGGAGCAGTTTTACATGTTAGAAAGAATTTTTTATATTGCTTCCCCACCCCCACTGCATACTGTGTGAATCTGAGAGAGAATTTGCAGTCAACTGCTCATAAGTACTCCTTACATTTGGTTGTGTTTAGGTTTATCAATGCTAGGAGGCGAATTCTTCAGCCAATGCTGGATTCCAGTTGTTCCGAAACTCCAAAAACGAAGAAGAAAACGGCTCAGAACCGACCGGTTCAGAGGTTCTGGCCTGACTCCATTGCCTCAGGAGTTGCTCAGCAGCAATCTAACGAGCTTACAATGTCAGATGGTAAGGAGAACTGGCTAAACTGCAGATAACTGAAGTTAATCCCTCTGTAACAGGGAAATGAAGGGTTTGATGCCCTTGAGGAGAAGGAAACTTCTTGATACTTTGGTATAGATGTGTTTTTAATCTAGAAAAACATAACAGAAATGTGTTAAGTTATACCTCTTTAAAAAGTTTCTGTGTTTTAGAGGGGTATTTTATTGGAATTTATGTGAAGAGAAAATTGCTTTTGTTTCAGAAGATAGGAAACAAAGGTTAGGTGAACAACTAAGTTCTTTCAGTATGTGTAATGCGCATCAGTAGCATTCTGTTCGATTAGCAGCAGTATGGGACTGCAGTTTCAGTTTCATGGTTCCCCATCTTGTTCACATTCCTTTCACTGTTCCTAGAGGGACTAAGCATCTGCAATTCTATATATGCCTCACGTTTCAAGTTGAACATTGAGAAGCAGATAAATGTAATAAAGCTTCCAAAGGCTGAAGTAACTTCCTTAGCATCAGATCAAATAGACTCAATTTAAAAAAGAAAAATAACTGCTTTAAGTTCAAGACCATCCTTTCTGTCCTGCTGTCTCCTGCTTTACTCTTCCCCAGTTTGTAGTTACTTTTCCCTCAGCATCTCCTGGGTCTGATAACAGCGTTATCCATTTAAGTCACCCTGAATCTCTATGAACCCTTGCATTTGTCTGCAATGAATTAAGCTGGAATACTTTGCAGAAATGGTCTTGTGATGACTTGATTGGAAAACTGTTGTAATAGGTGTCCATAACACAGCTATTCCTGGCCAACTTAATTCCGGGATTTCCTGATATTTAAGTGTTTGACAACCTGTATAGCTTTTATTTTCATTTAATACCTTAAATTTTCTTCCTGTTGATTAGAAGCAAACTCTATTAAATATAAATACGTATTACTTAGAAACAAAAAAGATACTAAAGTACTGCAATTGTGCTTCTCCAGGTGCTGTTGTAACAATTACAGCTCCAGTCAACATGAATGTAGACAGTCTCCAGTCTTTGTCATCCGATGGTGCTACTTTGGCTGTTCAGCAGGTTATGATGGCAGGGCAAAGTGAGGATGAGTCTGTAGACAGCGGTGAAGATGATGGAGGAGATCTCTCAACAACAAACATCAGTGGGCTGGTCTTGGATAACAGCGATTCTCTGCAGTAGGAAGCAAGAGAGTGTGACAAAGTGTTTAGGAGAAAGAATAAACTGACTGACTGACTTTTTATAGTTTGCACAGCAAACATTTTACACAAGTTTTATTTCTAATATGTTTTATATGTAGATATAGAAGGGTGCACTTTTTTGTATTTCATAGTAAGCTTAAAGAGTGTTTTTGCAGGTGCAGCAACTTCTTTCAAATGTTTTTTTTCTCTTCATTTCTTTTTCTTATTTCATAAAATTATATCTAGTAATATAAAGAACCACATAAGCAACCCTTTGTTCTATGAATTGAAAGTGCTGCCATTTCTGAAGAATTATGCAGTTTCAATTAGTGCTGTTTTTAACACAGATTTTGATGGGCAGGTGATGTAAATTTAAAGCATGTGACACTAGTGTGTGGAACTTGATCATTAAGTTAGATGCATATATTTGAAAGATGCTTCTGCACCTTAAAAACTGCTAGTCTGAGGTGGACAGCAACACACATAAAAAGAAAATGTTGATGTGTGATTCGGTAGCGAATGTATGGCAATTTAAATAAGTTTAGTTTCTCTCATAGTCCGTGAGCCTGTTTATCATTTGCTATGAAAACTCCTATTTTTACCTTGCCGGGGTTATTGGATAAAAAAAATATTTTTATAAATTCACTAGGAATTGGGATGACGACTGTATTAAGCAGGAGGTAAAAAAAACAAATTTCCAGAGGGGAAAAATAAATGTTTAGTATTCCTATTTGGAAGGTCTGAAAACTGACCCAATTTAATAAATGAGCCTATGCTAGCATTCTATGATTGTCAGCTATCCCACAGTGATATACTATATTTGATAATAGCATAAGAAGGCCCCAGTGTTTGGTGGGATTTTGATATTGTCAAACATTGGTTTATATTATGTGTAAACTAATACTCAGATTGCATTAACTCTGTATCTAGACTTGTATCTGCAGATATTTGCTAAATGAGTATTCAGGTAAGTAAATTCAAATACCCACAACTTTTCCAGTTTTAGAGCAATTTAACAGTTTATAGTTTGTACATCTGAATCTGAAAAATGAAAAGGTGCCTACTATACAGTCATGAATTCTGCAATCACTCTGCTATTTTATTGCATTTGAAATATTTTCCCCTAATACAAAAAGAAATATAACTTAAGGATTTATATAAAATTTCTTCAAATATGAAGGTTACTACCAGAATATACAGCAGGCTTTATTAGAGTAGAAAATCCTCGTGTGTCATTTAAAAACTAAGAGCTAGTGATAATTTTTTGTTTGTTTGTTTTGTGGTAGCAGTTCATTTCTTCTTTCCCAAAGTTTGGAATCTTTCTATCCATGAACACTTTTGAAGCTTTTGTATTTCCTGTTGTTAAGTACAAATATCAGACTCCAAGAGTCTCATGGTATGATCAATGTCCTCTTTTTTCCCCCTGTCCATTCATCACAGTGCTGGATTAGATCAAAGCCAGAATTTCCTTCTGACTTAGACCAAATCTAGTTGTGTTTCTCACATGACAGGGAAAAAGATGATAAGCTTTTAGACTCTTTAAACATTGTATTTGAACAAAGTCCTTCGGCAGATGCAAATATTTAACTGAATACTTAGTTTCTGCTTCACAAAACACTCAGGCATGTGCTTAGGTCCCATTGATTTCAGTAGGATTAATGCATGTACTTTTTAACATGCTTAAATGGTTGGAAGCTGGTCTTTAAAGATTGTTTTCCAAGACAAGTGTAAGTCGGTATGAAGGAAAACTTAAGAAACAAATGTCAGTAGTATTGGCATACCTACATGGAGAACAGTAATAGTTTTCAGTGACTAGTAGCTATTTTGAACAATTTATGTTGGGTTTTATTCAACACAAGTGATGTTTCTGGTATGGCTTTCACTGATTCCTGGCTGAGAATCTTGCTGCTTAGTTCAAATGCTGTATGATCTCCTCCAGCTGGAGTGGTAATTTCTAAAGAATTCGTTTACTTCAAACTTTTCTGCTTTGTTACTAATGTGACATGTTTGTTAAAGAATATAGTAAATGAATGATGAAAACTGTAATTAGGAAGGCTTTGACATAGCATAACTATCTCAAAGACTATTGCCAAATCCAGTTTGACGTCTCAAAACGTTTTAAAAGACAGATACTATGTACAAATCATGCTCCTTTTTAAACATTCAACCTACTGCTTCTACAAAGGATACCTGAAATGACTAGAGCTGAGAGGCGGATCCTGTATTTTTCTTTTTAGTTGTTTTTGATTCAGCTCTGTTGAGTGCTTTGTCACCCCCACAATTTCCATTACAAAGTAGGGTATATTTGTTGGTTTGTTTGGGGTTTTTACTCAGCTACCTTCCTTGATGTTTAATATTGCATTAATCCTTGTACCCCTAGAGAGCTATCCTTGTACCTGCAGAGCTACGAGGAAGTCTGGGAACCAGCTCAGCTGGCAGATTTGTTGTGGTAGCAAGTGGCCAGCAGAGAAGGGAAGGGTAAACCAAGATGGACAAAACTGTGTTTTGGAGATAAATGTGGCAATGGGCATTTGCCTGCATTTCAAAACTGTGAGAACTGAGATTTGAAAAAGAGAGGATATTAGAACAATTTAGTATCTGTACAGATGCTGGATTAGGGTTCAGGAGCATGTAGTTTATGTGTCACTTGGAATTCAGTTGGAAACAACCAGGTATCAGGGTTTGCAGTCTTCTGAAAGTCTGTCTTTCAGAAAGAAACTGTTACTAGATTTTTTTATTCCCCCCACCTTACACGCAGCAGACTTTTTATGCTTCTGGAACATTTGCAAACTTGTCTTCAGTTAATTTCTCAATACCTGGAAAGTGAGGTTGACAGCATTTACTGTGAAAGGGGGAATGTGGAATAGTTTCGTTGTCAAATTAGAAACATAAAAACATGGATATGTATTCCTAAAACTGAAAAGGCTTTACCAATGTAATCACAGGTATTGCTTTAACATATGGGACTCAAACCTTGTCTTTTAGTTCAGCCAGAATTTGGTGGTGGGTGTGAACCCCACACAACTACTTGTTCTTTTCACAATTAAAAAAAAATAATGTGCCCTTCATTTCTTGATGTGCAAAAAGTATTGGTGGTTTAAGCAAAGCATCGCTATTCAGGAAAGGTACATGTTTACATTAGCTAAAAAGTCTTTATAGGGGGCCTAACTTTAAACCCATGTATAATTCCTCCCCGCCTCCAATTAAAGTCATATTCATATGCAATAGAACTGATTTGTTTTTAAAATAAATTTAATTCTTCTGCAATTATGGTTTTTGAAGCTTTTAATTCTTTTTCAGTGTGATCTAGATCATTAGAACAAGGTTCTCAGACCAGTTTTTCCAAGATTTCTGTAACAGGCCAGGCAACTTCCTCTTGTTTTTTAACTTCAGCAATACTGCGTTTTAGTAAATCAAAATCAGTCAGGATATATTTTTAAGTTATTGCTCCAAAGAAATAACCATGTTGGGAAACATTTAGAATTGACAGGCATGGCTCTGGCTCTGCAGAGAGTTTCCTAGATCTGGATATTGGGTCAAGGGAACTTGGGAACCACAGGGAAACTCCATAAGACTGCATGTCAGGCTGTATTTACCTGCAAGAGAATTGGTTCTTTATTCTGGTCCCTGATCACTATTAGGAATCTTTTGTAGAGCCCTCCAGTTTTATCTTGCCTGTATACCTGCGATTTCTTCCAGTGAAGACCAGGGTATGGACAAAGGGCTTTTTTGGAGGGCAGGAATTCATATTGACTTGTGGGCACTACGTATCATTTTGATGTTCAAAATATGGCCAGTTCTTGCCAATATCCAGTTTACGGATATTCTAGTGGAGTAGGGCCACTTAAGATTTTAATCCATGAATGGTGTATCTGTTTGTTTCTGGAAGAATTAGAAGGCAGTTCACCTTCCTGTCTTTATGAACTTGACAGCCGGAAAGATGAAACAAAGCCTTTCCAAGGGGTGATAGTTTCATAAAACCATTAGTCTTGTAGCATTTAAACAGAAAACCCGAAGACCATGGTATTTTGAAAAATTGGAACGTGCATTTAATTGTAAAGTTGATTTAAGATTTATTTTCTGAAGCTGAGTTGTCTTGGGAGAAAAAAAAATAGTTAATTATTTGTCTATGCAAGATACAAATGTCAAAAATATGTGAATTACCCATTTTTAGATGCTGTACTGTTACTTGTTTTCTGACTTCTTTGATTAGTCTTTTAATCCTTTCAGCCATATATTCAGCTTAGTTTTTAGAGTTGGATAGGCAAAATGTAGTTTTGAAACCCTGTTGGGAATGTAACTAACCTCCATTCCTTCATGCAAATGTCACATTAAACAAGTAAAATGGTTGGTTTCCTAATAATGAATTCAAACTCTCACCACCTGCTAAAACCAGAGCATATCCATGAAAATGCACATTTGATTGCAGCATGCAAATGATGAAATCTTTAGCCTTAATGCTGAATACACTTTGCTCTTTACTGTTCAGTGTAGCTGAATAGTAGACCAGGTCCGTTTTGCCCAACTCAGACTCAGTGTGGATTTCTTCCTCCCTGCCCTTGGTTTGCTAAGTTCCTTCAAATAGGTTTTAGGTTGTTTAATTTTCAACTCCTAAAGTAACTTGATCATCCCATGTAAAGTGTAGCGAAATTGGCACTAATGTGCTTTTAAGCGATTGCCCAGGTCATGTTATTTGTTCATTCTGGTCACCTGGCAATATAAAATCTGTTCCTTTTCTGTGACTTAGCTCTTTAGGACCTGCTGAGTGATCACAGCTGTCTTTGTCAAGAGGAAAGCAAGGTGTGAGAAAGCAGTGAAATGCCTTACAAACCTTGTAGACTACTATAAAGATACTTGTTTCATGCTAATAGAATTGTGTTTTCAGGTCACGGCAGAAATGGCCCATAAATCTTCCCATGGGTTGGCAGCATTTGGTCTATACAGTTGACGGTCTTTAAAATGTGAACCCTGTAACTTTTTTTTTTTGCCTAGGTTGTTAAAGGATTTTGAAGCAACTGATCTGTCAAAGGATAAAATTCAAAGTGAGAATCTGCTTCATGGATGGTTTGTTTTTACACTACTGTTCTCTGTGAACAGAAAAAAAAAGTGCATTTTTAAAGCAAAGCATTTGTGTTACTTTAAAGTTAACAGGTTTGTTTGGCTGAAAGACATGTTTTTGAGAAATCTTGAGCATGGTTTCAAACTAGTTAACCAGTTCTTGGCCAGAAACAATCCTGGGCCTTTTTGTTTGGTTAGTTTTTCTTGTTTATGCAAATTAAGAAAAGTGTTTACTAGTGCTTACACCAGTATGGGGTTTTTTATTATGCTTTTGTAATTCAGAAGCGGTTTCGATGAAAGCAAGAATTAGCAGGTAAATAGACCATAATGTATGTGACTTGGGGTTGGTTTTGTTTAGGGGTTTTTGTGGTTGTTCCAAAATGGTTAATTAAAATGGCATGGACATGAAACTTTCAGTAATGGTTCCAAGCATGTATGATAGCAATGTACTTAAAAAGACATCCTCTGTGTAAGTGCCATGCATTAACTTGTTCCGCCAGACAGATTGAGATGCATTTCTAAAATTGCCGTCTTCGGCTAGATCAGAAATCTTCATGAAATTAGCAGCCTTTTTATTACAAGATAGATTCCTGTGTAGCAAGAAACACATCCAGTGTGTGAGTCTTACTGAGCAAA